TGGTGCTTGTCCATGTAAGGCCCTATAGACCAGAACCAGGATCTTGAAATGAACCCTGAAGTTGACTGGCAGCCAGTGAAGCTGGAGGAGAAGCGGGGTGATGTGGGTGTTTTTGGAGGACTTGGTCAGAAGCCGAGCACAGGCATTCTGAACCACCTGTAGACGGTTCGGGGAGGTTCTGCTCAGACACGTGAAAAGAGAGTTACAGTAGTCTAAGTGTGAGGAGATGAAGGTGTGGAGAACTGTCTCAAGTTCAGAGTGGGACAGAATGGGACTCAGCTTAGCAATTATCCTGAGATGGAAGAAGGAAGAGCGAACAAGAAAACTGAAATGAGAATCCAGGGTGAGAGCTGGGTCAAAGATCACGCCAAGATTCCTGAAGGAAGGTTTGGTGTGGGAAGCAAGCTGACCAAGTTTCTGACTTTGGGAACCAGCTTGTCTGGGGCACAGATGAGGATCTCAGTCTTAACAGTCTATAGTAATCGTTTGACCTCTGTTATTGCCAACAAAGGTTATGTAACAAAGTATTGTGTTGAATTTTTGTTACTGACCAAATAATTATTTTCCACCCTGATACACAAAAAAATTCTTTAAAAATCCTGCCATGTGAATTCATGGATTTTTTTTTCACATTCTGTCTCTCACAGTTGAAGTGTACCTATGATGAAAATTACTGACCTCTGTCATCATTTTAAGTGGGAGAACTTGCACAATCGGTGGCTGACTAAATACTTTTTTGCCCCACTGTATATATATGTATGTATGTATGTATGTATGTATGTATGTATGTATGTATGTATGTATTTATAATATATATATATATATATATATATATATATATATATATATTTTTTTTTTTTTTTTGTATATATGTATGTATAAATATATACGCACACACGTGCACACACACACACACGCACACAACATATATATATATATATATATATATATATATATATATGTATATATATATATATATATATATATATATATATATGTTGTGTGTGTGTGTGTGTGTGCGTATGTATATATGTATGTATGTATGTATATATAATATATATATATTTGTATATATGTATGTATAAATATATACGCACACACGTGCACACACACACACACACACACACACACACACACACACACACACACACACACACACACACACAACATATATATATATATATATATATATATATATATATATATATATATATGTTGTGTGTGTGTGTGCGTGTGTGTGTGTGTGTGTGCGTATGTATATATGTATGTATGTATGTATATATAATATATATATATATATTTGTATATATGTATGTATGAATATATACGCACACACGTGCACACACACACACACACACACACACACACACACACACACACACACACACACACACAACATATATATATATATATATATATATATATATATATATATATATATATATATATATGTTGTGTGTGTGTGTGCGTGTGTGTGTGCGTGTGCGTGTGTGTGTGTGTGTGTGCGTATGTATATATGTATGTATGTATGTATATATAATATATATATATTTGTATATATGTATGTAAAAATATATACGCACACACGTGCGTATATATAGTGTGTGTGTGTGTGTGTGTGTGTGTGTGTGTGTGTGTGTATATATATATATTTGTATGTATGTGTATATATGGGCTGCATGGTGGCGCAGAGGTTAGCACTGTTGCCTCGCAGCACGAAGGTTGCAGGTTCGAAGCTCGGCTGTGGCCTTTCTGCGTGGAGTTGCGTGTTCTCCCCATGCATGCGTGGGTTTCCTCTGGGTACTCTGATTTCCCCCACAGATCACAACATGGCCTATAGGTCATAAATTGTAAGTCGCTTTGGGTAAAAGCGTCTGCCAAATGAATAAACATAAACATATATATACATACACACGCACACGCACACACACACACACATATGTATGTGTGTTTATATATTTGTACATACACACATACATATATATGTGTATATATATATAGTTGTATGTAGGTATATATATATATATATATATATATATATATATATACATATATATATATATATATATATATATATATATATATATATATAGGGTCATTTAGGTATTTTATTTTGTTATAGTGATTTGAAATGAGTTCACACATTTGTTTCATGATAAATGGCTTCACAACATCACTGACCATGAGTGAAAAAAATGTTTTTGTGCTTTCATTCATATTCTTAAAGAGATGGCCAAAGAAATCTAAAAATCCACCAGGGTGTGTACACTTGGCACAACTGTATACTTAAGCTTTCTTTTTATCAAATTTGTATCTCGTGATGTGATCCATCTGGTTGATTCTAGTATTGTTTTTAATGATCCATATTTAATCATATTTAATCATATTTTCATCAATGCACACACGTAAACCATCCTGAAAACATAGCTTGTGTTTGCCTCTTACATCCAGTTCTAGTTGGACTTAATGAGAACTTCTGACCCAGCAGAGTTGGAACCAAACAACACTCCCAACGTTTAGACTTCACCGCTGCCCTCAGCTGGAGGAACAGTGTTACTACTAAACCTGAACTTGTCCCATACCAGTCCTTATGTTCGCACACATGTCCCATCCAGTGTTGAAGCCAAATTAAAAGCTCTTTCCCAGCATAGCTGAAGGTGTGGGCTACCTCCACAGCAGCAAGCCTCAACTCCTGATGGCATCTATTAATACTTTGTTTGTAACCAAAAGACTGGATTGATTCAGACCTTATTATGATCCTCAAAGGGAATTTGTGCTTTTAGCCACACCGAAGCATGCAGCTGAACTCCAGAAACTTTCCTCTGCAGTTCGACTCCTCACAGCTTTTTCTGGCGTTTTCTACAGAAAGCCTGAATTATGCTGCCCCGTAGATCAAAGTACCCATCAGATCTGAACAAAATTATTCAAATGAAATGTTATTTGTTATGCCTGTAACAATTACAATTTTACTCATTAAAAACCAAAGAAGTAGATTTCCTATAATGCATAAAAAAGTGAGTGAGTGAAGACAAGGTCTTCAACAGG